GCAACAGGAAAAGACCAAAGCATCTTAGAATAAGAAAACTGGAGGAAGAAAGTGGGACAGTGTCTTGTATCTCTGATACTAAGGGGCCTGGTTCTCCACTACACTGGTGTGTTACTACAGTTGTATACCATTGTAGCTCCATTTAAGTCAACTGTATTCCATCAGAGCAGAACTGACGTAACATTGGGAAGAATCAATACCAAACATTAGTCCAAATTGCTCTTGGCTTTGTCTAATTTTTAAATCTTCTGTTTCCACCAATTACCATCCTGGGATTTCCCTGCCATACAAGCAAACATTGATTTCTCTGGGCCTGATTTTTCTCTCACTCACACTAGTGTAAAGCAGGAGGAACTCCAGTGAACTGACTGTTGTTACATTAGTGTAAAACCAGAGTGCATGAGAGGAGAAACAAGCCCCTGGTAGCTGGCAAAGGCCATCTTCCTTGGATCTGAACTTATTGGATTCTAATAGAAGAAAATACAGTAGCAGCACAAGAACCACTTTAGTGAAGGATCAAAGGCCATGTATCTCTTTCTTAGCCATCAAACCATGCCAAGGGAAATAAAAGTTAAGGTATACATTCTTCTGCCTGTCTCTTTATGTGAGGACCCTCCAATGTGATTTCAGTAAACGTTACGTGGAACTGTATACATGGGTAGTTCACAGGGTAATAAGGGCCTTCTGCCCTCTTTAATATTTCTCCTTGACCCGCTACTGGGACGTGCCCCACAGTTTGGGGACCTCTGTTCTAAACCAATAGAGCATGAGCATTGGGGTTTGCCTGGACAAATTGAGCATGTGCAGAAATGCAAACACAATTTTACATTTAGCTTTGCCAGTTGCTCTATATCAGTGGTTCCCAAAATTTTTGGTATCATGCCCCCTTTTTGATTTTTGAGAAACCCTCATCCCCCACCCCCATAGGAGCAAAAAAATTGTTGAGCAAAAAAGGAACTGACTAGGGCCAAAAAACAAAAATAGCAACACAATTGGGGGGAGGGGGGAATTGATGGGGGGGCCTGGCTTGCACGCCCCCCAGTTTGGGAACCCATGCTCTATATGGTGGTGGAACAGTCAAGGGGATTTTGGGAAGCTATGTAATTATATGAAAATATGAGCCTGGAGAGATGGGGAAAGAGGTAAATTTGTGAATCATCCACAGAAAGAGTGCATTAAAGTAATGGGAATGGGAGAAGTCCCCAAGAAAGTGGGAGGAGAGGAGGGAAGAAAAGGAAGGAGTTTTGAAGGATGTCAGCAGGTAAAGGGAGAGAAAAATTATCACACAGTTCAGTCCATAAGGTGGTTGGGTAGGGAGGGATCCAAGCAAGAATAGGGTCATGCAAGCCAAGAGAAAAGACCAAGAAGGAATTCAATGATCAGCAGTGTCAAAGGCATCAGACAGAGAAAGGAGAAAGAACAGAAAGGTGCTTTGACTTGGCTTGGTTTCATGGAATGGAAAGTGGAAGTTGGATGGGAGAGGTTCCAGTGCAGAATGGGACATAAGCAAGTTAAGATGTAATTTTTGGTGAATGCCACTGTTTTATATTATTTTTGAATTCATAATAAAATGTTTAATACATTGATTATATGGGAAGTCTTCCAGATCCAGGCTCTCCCCAATACTGATGCATAGAGTATATATTTTAGTAGTCGTGCTTGTGACAGAGAAAAGACAGAACTCTGATGTAACACACACTGAGTGGATTCCTTTTTGAGCATATTGTACACCCACAAATCCTGTGGCTCCTACACTCCCCCTCTTGGAGACTGAGGACTGTGTTCTGGGCTACACGGTGTCACCAGGCATGGTCTACTATTGTCCTGGCCTGGGCTAAGTAATCATGGAATAGATTGCTGCATTTTTTTTTAAAGACTGGTTAGTTATTACATTTCACCCTATCAACAAACTGTTCAAACAAAGAGAAACATTAAGGTCTGAAACTGTACTAGCCCCAGCTCATGAAAAAGCTGATAGAAAAGTCTAACCCAGACAAGCCATCACTGACAGAATTTTGCAGCAAAGATTTTTAAGGTTGTATCTGAAGTTCCTGCCTTCATCTATGGGACTTGGGAGTCCTATGAGAATTTCACTCAGGCAAAGACTTTGTAAGACATGAGGGTTGCTCTCTATTCTTCTCAGGAAGTGCTCTCCTATTCAACGAACAGCCACCAGAAAGGGATGTGCGAATGTCAGATTGAAGGACAACACCTCCCTGCAGCTTTGTTCATTGTAATTTTAATTAATGGATATATCCCATTCTGGTGTGGGTCTTCAACACAAGTCCCTATAGTCCAGTGCTACCAGCTGAACTAGACTGCTAGTAATAGTAGGGATCCAGGCTCCCCCACTGATAAGCACATGTCTTCATATAGCTAGTTCATTTGCTTTGCCATGTTGTTGTAACTGTCCTTTTTGGGGATAAGAGACAAGATGGGTTGGAGTTGTTGCTGTTGTTGTTAAAGTCTGATCCCATTTCCTAGAAGACAAAACAAGACAAACACAAAAGAAGGTAGAAAAAATAGAGGGAGAAAAGGCACTTCTGTTTTTTATGTCAACTCTTACTTACAACCTTGCTGCTAGAAAAATACAGGCACAAGACATGGTCTAGTTATTCCAAGACTTGGCAAACTTGGTCCAGCATGTGCTTGTTTAAGATGTTGCTTTTAGTTCTCTCCATGTTCACAGGCTTACGGCAGCGTTGCAAAATATACTTTGGCCAAAAAAACCCCAACAAATGGTCTGGTAGCACTTTATAGACTAACAAAACATGTAGATGGGATCATGAGCTTTCGTGGGCACAGCCCACTTCTTCAGATGACTGGAGTTCTCTGAAGAAGTGGGCTGTGCCCATGAAAGCTCATGATCCCATCTACATGTTTTGTTAGTCTATAAAGTGCTACCAGACCATTTGTTGTTTTTTTCTCTAACAGACTAACTTGGCTATCCCATGAATACTTTGGCCAGTTAGACTTCTATAAGACAGAAGTTAAGAGGAGAGGAACAGGGAAAAGAAACAAATAAAACAAGGTGGAGAATGTAAAGGACACGTGATAGAGGGATGCCGGTTACACATGCCAGAAGGTATTTGCCATTTAGCCACAGACACTGGGTCCTCCTCTCTGCCCTGGTCTGGTCAGAACATCTCTCAGAATCAAGATATTGAAGGTAGAGCAGTGTCATGGTGGATCCCAAGGAAACAGTGGAGGTGGCAGTCATGTTTCCCTTTCTTTCAATCAGCTAATGCCTCTTGGCTCCCTAAAATTTCTTTTTGTGGCACACTAGCTCACTGGTAAATCCACCAACTAGGCCACATTTCTGACACGTACATTTTGGTCACACTTTTTAATTTTTTTTTTTTTTGGTTACCAAGCATGGTTTTAGCACAGTTGTTGGGTTGCATTAGAGGGCCTTTCTGTTTTGGACTCATTTAGGGCAAGCCTTACACCGCTACATCAGCGCAGATGCACTGATGCAGCTGTGCTGTTATAGCATTTCTGGTGAAGGTGCATTGTACCGTGGACTAGTGACTCCACCTCATCGAGAGTGTTTCCCACTGATGCAGCATTGGTGTGAATAGCACGAAACTTGCATCACTTGAGGGAAACTTGCATTACATCCCTGAGCAGCATATATTAGATCTACTTAAGCAGTAGTATAGACCTGCTCCTAGGCTTGCTGACAGGGGGTTGGGGAATGGGGCAGTTGCTCCAGAGCCTGGTGATTTAAGGGGGTTTGGGGCTCTGAACGCTGTTTCTGACACAGTAGCAGTGGTAGTGGGCAGAGTCCCAGATCCTCTAAATTGCTGCCGAAGCACCGTGCTACATCCTTTGGATAGCACTAAGGGCTGTGGGGGTGCACACCATGCTCCTGGCAGTGCTAAGGGTTGCCTGGGACTGGCGTGGTACACTCCGGGAGGCTCTGAGGGCTGGCCGTCCTTGGCCCTACCCCTTCTAGAATCCCAGATCCCCCTGCCTTGTCCAGAGGTCCTAGATTTGTAAAAAATTTTTTGCACCTTTTCCCATCAGCATTTATTATTATATGCGATTGGAGCATTTTGTAAACTTTTATTCACTTTTTTACAATTGACCTTACAGTTAGGGTAAGTTTTTAATCCTGATTATTGTAAGAGTCCTTATGAGTCAGAAGTGTCTACATGCTTTATCGCAACTTTTGTGACCTTTTTTTCTTACTGTATCGAAGGACAAAACTGTAATCCCCACCGATGATGATGATGAAGTATGGCAGTGCACTGCTCTGCTGGATGCCAAATAAAAGCAAGAAGAACAAGGCAGCCTAAAGATGCTGTGGACTAGTGTGAGAAAACTGGACATTTAATACATCCTACAACAGGATGAGTATTGCAAAATAAAAAGAATATGACGAGGATAAGACCAGTGTTGCCATCTCATGAGTTTATCGTAAGCTTCCTAATATTTGGTATTTATCATAAAGCTCCCATAGTCATGTTCTGTGGAAGTCTCAGCATTCATTTTAAAAAGTAAATTTCTTGCCCTCAAGATAGTTGAGGAAAACATGGAAAATTGGTCCCTAAAGATTCAAACTTCAGAAGATAAATGAAAATAACTCATTTAAAAAAAATCCCATGATTTTAAAGACTAGCTTATAATGATTGGTATCTGACTCCTGATTTTTGAATTCTTGGAGTTGGCAGGGTGGTGAGATGCAAAAATTAAAGCTGATCAGCTTAAAAAGCAGCTTTCATTGTAGAGCAGACTCCCAGGACAGAAGAAACAAACCAAAACACCCGATGCAAACCACAACTGGGGAGCTTTACAATGATAGGAGGTGAGCTAGCTACAGAAGCAGGGACATGCACTGTATTTAAAAGATTCATTGAGGAAAAGTTATTTCCCACGCTCTACCTACAGAGGGCATCCCAGCTCATTCATATTGTAGATTCAGTGCATGCAGCTGCTGGAAGCAGCAGGGCTCAGGGCTTTTTTTTTTTTTTTTTTTTTTCCAGTGGAATCTTTTCCGTGATCCCGTTGGTTTCTCTCCGCTCTCCACGTTTTCCCTTCCAGCCCTCCACTTCTTCGGATCAATGGATGTTACAGCTCTAACTCCCATCTCACATATTGCTGGTGGACAGCTCCAGTAACAAGTGAGAGCGTTACATGCCCCTTTTCTTTCCCCTTCTTCTTTCCCTCCCCACCAACATCTGCCAAGAAGGAGGAAAATAACAAGCTTTCCCCTTTTGTATTCTTCTGATTGTTTTTATTTTTATGACCATATCTATATTTTGTACTTTGTCCAGCAGTGGAAATGGAGCAACCCCCAATCTTTTGATGCACTCTGGTTTGCTTTTTTGCAGTATTTTTTCAATATATGGTTTTCCAGCCGTGGGAACACTGTTCCCCACCTTTCCCCCTTTTTCCTTGAGTTAGTTTCTCCTAACATCATCTGGAGGTTTGGTGGCACTTGGACTGAATATAACTTTTCCCCTTCCGCATCCCCTAACTCCCCCTTTTGCTGAGCCTTGCCGGTGGGGACTAGAGGAAAAAAAAAAAAAACAGAAGAGGAGGCGGCAGAAAGGGGCTGTGTGTGTGATTGTTGCTGGTGCTCAGGACCCAAATCTCTGTAGGTGTGTGTTGAAATATGGAGAATAGTCTTGGATGTGCTTGGGTACCAAAGCTGGCTGTTCTACTCTTCGGGTTTTCTCTGATCAGCCTGAATCTTCAAGTCACCGGTAAGTCATCACTGTCTTATTTGTCTTTTGCACTCCCTGAATAAGGGTGAGTTTTGCAAACCCTAAGAAATGTGCTTCTCTCGTCTGTGTTATCAGAATTTCCCTTCCTTTTGATTTTGTTGTTGTTGTGGATCAGTGTAGGCATTTGCAGGCACTTGATGTAGATTTGAAAAGGAGTGAGATCAAATTTGGTTTAGAGGCACCCTGAGCTGCCTGTGAAATAGGAAAACTAACTGAAAGGAAAGAACCCCCCACAAAATAAAGGAAAAATGTGGGAGGAGGTGCTGATAGCATGTGTGTGTGTGTGTGTATGTACACACTGGTTTGTATTCTCTTTGCACCTGACCACTGTTTCAACTGGATTTATTTTCATGTAGCTTTTTTTTTTATCTTTAGGCTGAGATGGGATATATAGTTTTATTTATATTTTTTCAGATGGTAGGGGACGGGCAAATAATGAAAAGAGAAATATTAGTTTGCAAGATGGAAAATGCAGTTATTTGCAGAGTGTCTCCAAACTCCATTTGATTGATATTCTTTCGGGCTGCCTCGCTCTCTTTGCACTTGGCAGGCACATTTTCTGATTAAAAATGGCAAAGCTGGTGTGTGTATTGAATTAGGATACAGAAGGAAAGAGGGGGGATTGATATTGTGATGCTCAGGAGCTGCCTGTGGTAGAGGCAGGGAAGACCTGGGAATTAAGAGAGATTTTGTAAAAATATAATCAGGAAATTGGAGTATTATTGAGAAGTGTTAGAAACTAAGCAAGTGAAGCTTTGATTTGTAGGTGACTCTGTAGGGTGTGTGTGTGAGAGAGAGTACAATGCATGTGAGAAAATATTATTCTCCAGTGATCATTTTTTTTCCTCCAGAAGAAAACGAGCTGTGTTTCATTAGGAGAAATCTTAGTAAGAGAGACTCATGGAAAACAAAAATAAATAAAAATAAACATACACACATTGCTTCTACACCAGCTGCTGCTGAACAATAGAAACCGATAGGTCCCCCCACCCCCTACACACAGACACACGCCACTAAAGCAGGAGTGTGTGTGTGTGTGTGTGTGTGTGTGTGTGTGTGTGTGTGTGTGATAAAGTGCTGCATATCAAAGCCTTTGGGAAAAGATCTTTACCTTAGACTGGTATCATTCAGAATATAAGCTGCATTCAAATAGAAATACCTTAAATTGTTCATATAGATGATGCTTCCTTTCAAATATATATTTTTGGATTTTTTTGGGTTGGGAATAAGTGAATTGGGAAGGCTTTTCTGCTAAATACAAGAAGATTCATATTGTGTGTGTGTGTGCGTGTGTCCCATACATGTCCTTTGCAATTACTTGCATGGAAGGTGGGACTTGGGAAATCAGAGCAGGATAATAGGTGTCTCTCTTGAATTTCCAACTTAAAGGATAGTAGATGGGAGACATCTCAGTGATCCTCCTTTTGGCACGATGATTGGCTTGCAGACCTCTTTGCTGACATATGGCAATTTGGGTCCTGTGTGCAACCGTGTGTGTGTATGTATGTGTGCAAGAGAGAGAGGAGGAGAGTGAGGATACACACTGCCTCAATGATGTGTGTTTGTGTGTGTGTGTGTGTGGTGTGGGATTATGATGTTGTCTGATTATACACAGAGAACTCATTACAGGAGCAAATTGTTTCCTAGCTGTACATTTGGGTTGTGCATTTCACTCTTTATTTATAATGTGTCTAATACTTTGGAGGCATATATTTGTGTGTCTTATCAAGTTCCCTGATCTGATCTTTGCAAGCTAGAATTGTGCAAAGTTTCCCCTGTGATTAGCCTATAGATCCTTCTTGATGGTTGTTTTAAGCCCCCCTTTCACAATCTGGATTCACTGACAAAGTAAAATAGATCTTGCATCTTTAAGGAAATGTTGTTCGAGTGTCTTTGGCCCCTGCTCATTAATCTCTGGGTTTCCACTACTCTCCTTAGTCGCTATTTTCTCTCTTCAGAAACCTAGCAGGGGACTGATAGTGAAGAAAGCATAATTCACTCTATGAAAGGACCAGTAGGAGGTGCCCTTAATAAGGCCAAGTAGCTGGTTTGCTGTTTGGCAAAATTCCCGTTCGGCAGGGCATTTAAAGACTTTGTTGACCGGTAACAAAGGGCTTATAGAGATGCAACACAATGTGACTGTGTCTTTTCGCACTTTCTAAGTAAATCCCAAAGCTGGTTTGTAGATGTAAGAATTTGTTAAAAACTTTAACAACAAAGAGCAGTGTTGCACAGTGTCAACAATGAGGAGGAATATGCTAGTTTTGTGCCTGAATGAAGTCATTCAAGTCCTTTCCATTCACATTTCCATTGTCTGCAGGATGCAAAATGTTATGTGATAGGTGATCAAAAGTAAAATCCAAGAAAGAAAGGTTCCTTTCCCTGCAGAAAACATGAACGGACAGAGGCATATGTTACTGAACAAGAATTGATGATCAATGTTCAATGTTTTGGAAAAGGAACAGAAAAAGACATTATTAATTAGAGCTAGATCTCGGACTATTTAGCACTTAATACTGGAAAGTAATCACATATATGAACCTATATAGTTTGGTTGCTTCTCATAATTAAGTGAAAACTACTCTTTTGTCTGGAGGGGAAATAACAATCAACATGATTATTTATTATTTTACTCCCACATTTTTGGTGTGATGTTCAGTATGGTACAGCATATCAGAAGCTTGTGGTGCTTGGGCAATAAGGCAATCCCTTTCTCTGAGTATAAATCGACAGTGATCTGTCACAACATCCATTTCGCACTCAGCAGAGTTGTCCTCTGTTATGTTGCATGTGTCATTTGAGTGTGTTAGATTAAGCTTAGTGCTTTTGGTTACATATTCTTAAAATTTGTGATGGTCATGACTGAGGACAAGCATTTCAGTCTATATATTTGCAGCTTTATTTTTTTATACTTACTCAGTTTATATGTACACAAACACTATTTAGCTTTTGTTTTCCCTTTAACTTCCTTATTCCCCTCACAATTTGTGCAGATTTAAGGTAAAATCCTACTGTAAGTTATACTTGGGTAAAATTGGACTAATTCTTTCAATGGAATGACTCCAGATTTGAAGTCCGAATTTCATCCTCTGTTTATTTCTCTTTTCTGAATTCCCCTCTAATAACTTTCCAGCCTAAACATAGTATTTATTGCCTATTCTGGAATCCAAGTCATGACATTGCCCCCAAGATGCAGACAGCCACAGTATTCAGATTTAAAAATCAAATCTTCTGGAGTTAGGCATGCCATATCCCCACTTGTGATCCATGGGAGGTTTGTCTAAGACCTGCATAATTGGGTCATCAGGTTAAGACAAGAGTTGGTACACTGACAGTGTAGTTTGAATTTCCCAGTGGATCCTTTATCCATCAGTGACCCCTTCTTTTGCCATCCCACCAACATCTTTCCCCTCTGCTGGGGGAAAAATCTAGTTTTGTGCCACCACTTCCACTTCATGAATTGATCAGCATGGATTTGTACAGTGCACACCTGATATAGCCCTGTATTCTTTGACTTCACTTTGCAATATTGGTTGTCCCTTGGATTGTGCTTTTACCTAGCTTCCTAGGTATAGATACCTAAATATGTGAGTGGGTGCATTTTTTCTTGCTGCCCAGTTTGGTTTCTTGTGGTTCATAAATGGCATATCATGAATTCCTTCAATGATAGACTGCCTTTAATAAAATGTTTGCTCTTTGATGATCTTTCAGAATAATTCTTCACAGTCTCACTTTCATGTACATGTACTTTATACATCCATCATTGGACTCCTGGCTTTTATTTTCTGCCTAGTAAAAAAGAGGTTATAAAAATCAGAATAGTTTCCTCTGTGGCTGCTTGTACAGCAAATGCAGCTACAAGGATGCAGTTTTTAAACCGATATTGCAACTGTACAGCTAGTGAAAGAGATCATTGTGGGGATCATTAAATAAATGTTTACTATTATACCATAAAAGTTTGTCTCATCTCAGTACTTCAAAAACTTACCAGAGAGAGTTGCTGATTTTCCTCCTGCACTAGTCTTAAACAAGACTATGTTTACACTGGGAATGGTTGGTGACAAAAATGCTGTCTACATGCAAAAGTCACTAAAAGGGAAAACCAGTCAAACCAGTTTTTCTGCCTCCCATTGTTGACATTTCTTGGCCACATCCTTAGAACCCTGTAGACAGAGCAAAGCAATGTGGCTAAGCATCCCACTGTGCAGTTTTGTGGGAAGGCAGAGCTGATCCCTGTGCTTCTTGGGATTCCTTCCGAGTTCTCCCACAGTGTTCTCAGCTGCTGGGAGTGGCATCATGAGTAGCTCTGTAAGTGCTCCATGCTGAAGAATGTCAAAGCAGCACAGCAGTCTCTCCAGCCCACCCCCTGCAGCAGCAGTCTGCCTGCCGCTGTGTTTCTAGCAGAACAAAAAAGTAGCATTCAAATGATTTGCTCTTTGCTCCCTAAATGCAGCTGCTCACTCAAATGTCAGCTACTTTCCAGAGTTTGAAAGAGGAGGGGGCGCATGCCTGCAGAGCAGCAGAGATCACAAAGCACTGAGCACAGACGTCAGGGCAACATTGTGGGATACTGGGGGGAGGCCAATTCTCTCAACAAAACAAATATCAGAGTCCATAATGGCTTTTTGTCAACAATAAAGGGAGAGGAAAAATAAAAGTGCTAGTGTAGACAAGGCCCAAGTGTTAATGTGCTGGCTTCAAAAGAGTTATTCCTCATTTATACTTATGCAAATAAGTGAGAACCTGATTTTTTTATAATGGTAGCTAAGAGCCAGGTTCTGGTCTTAATTACATCAGGATAAATAGAAGTAATTTTATTTACATCAGTTGAGTAAAACTTGTAGGAAAATTTGACCTTCAAATGCAGATTATAGTTTTCTGTTTATAACTTCTTTTCTGATTGTCATGCAGAATTGTAATGGACTGGTCCAACTCAGACAATATCTCAAAAAAAGTACATTCCTGAAAATGTTGGCATT